CCCCGGCGCTCATGCAAATAGTGGGGCTTGTCTTCGCGTGTGAGGTTGATGGCTTGGTCGTAGGCGGGAACTGCCTGGTGAGGCCCAGAGTAGCTTAGTGGCTTAGTGCAATAAAAGGTTTGTGAAGCAACAGCTTCACACAAAGGAAAACGAAGGATGTTCCTCAACTCCCTAGATGTATGCCTTTGTGGAATGTCACTATCATCACTGTCATTGACTGAGGCCGCAGCCAGCACGTGCTTGCCCAAGTTGGCGTAGGAGACACCTGGCCGCAGATTTTTCAGGTACCGCAAGTGAAAACCGCTGACCTCAGAGGTACTGAGGCGAAGACCCAGATGGTAGTACACCTCTGCCTCATGACCAGCCACCGGGCCCTGCAGCAGAATGACCAGCTTCTTGGATCCAACTGCAACTGATCACGGTGCCATGATGTGCCATGGTTCCCTGGCCTGAGCCAAGGCGGCCTTCAGATCCGCAATGGACTCCGCGTAGTGCTTCTGCGCATAGCGCGTGATGCCCCGCCTGCAATCAATCCCAATGGGGTCCGAAAACATGGTAATCCATTTCATCCAAGGGTTTTGGAACCTTACTTTCCAGTATTTCACCATGTTTTCCCAATATTTTTCCCATAGTTTCCCATAATTTCCCCAATATGTTTCCCATATTTCTCTCGGATTTTCCCAACGTTCCCCATGGTTCCGGCCTGTAAAGCAGCTCCGCATCCCGGCCGTCGATCTGCAGGGCACGGCTTAGATCAGCCTGTAACAAAGGCATGGGCGGTGTCTATAGACGAAAAATGCGGAAAACATCAAGTGTAAATATACATGTGCATGTCTATCTGGAGGTTTCCTAAAATGGGGTGTACCCCCAAATCGTCCAAGTCATGGATGAGCATGACTTAGTATGGAAACCCATGGTGACTTGGGGATCCCCCATTTTAAGAAAGCCCCATGTATTGATCAACCAACCAGGGCTTTTGAATATGTGTAAAATGCGAATGTACATGTACACATGTCTATAGTCTATGTATATTATTTGCCTGTATATACCTGTATATACCTGTATAGCTGCATACAGTATGTATACTACACGTATACATATGATTCATAGATGTTCATAGAAATACATGTTCAAATCTATCTATATATCTAAATTACAGCTATGGTATGCTATTGTTGTGGAATGTCCAAATATCTTGTATCTGAATTGCGATCTTCGACGTACAGTCCAGGCTCGGGCGCCGACCTCAGCCCTATCGTAGAGCCCTTGCTCAAACAGACACTGCCTCCAGCTTTCGGCAAACTGACAGCAGGAATGCATTTCGAAGCATTTCGTTTTGCATTTTTGCATATGTTTGCCATGAAATTCACCCAGCTTTGCAACCCAACCGCAGGTTCCAAGGTTTCCCTTGGGTGCAGGCCCTCGGTTGGAGAGGTACAAGGTCTGGGTGCCATCAGCTTCAATGGCGGAGGTGAGGTCGATGACGGCCTGGTCACAGGAGTTGACAGTGAAAGCCCTGCATTTCGGGGTACAAACAACGATTTCCTGTAGAAAATCTCCCTGAAATCAATCCATTGGTGGAAGCAAGTCATTAGCATATGTGACAATAACATCGGTGTTTAGCTCCACATCAGCAAGCAATCGTGGAGAAAACTGACCACGGGATGTTGTTTTTGATCAACAATCCTCAGTATTCTGACCCAAGACTGGGTCCTGGGGGTCATTTAGGGACAACTGATGACTGGATGACCATCATTGATATATTGTAACCATCCAGTTTGGGTTGCCATGATGGATCCATTTGCCAAAGCCCCCAGGTCACCCAGGTCGATTCTTGGTTTAAAGGAACAATGAATACAGAAATGATGACATACAAAAATCATCCACCATAACCAACACCGGTTGGTACTTGTGAAACTGTAAAACACTATCCGTCCCAGCACGATATGGCGTTAAACAATGAGCCGAACACATCCAGATCGTAGCCCCCAGCCTGGGCCATATTGCCAAAGGATCTCCACGCAAGACCTCTTTCGCTGAAGACGGCAGCCTGTTGGCTGGGAATAGAACCAAGCAAAAACTAGATAAAACGGATAGCTAAGCCAATCTAAGCCTAAGCAAAAGTTATGTGAGATTACAGTGTTTACTGGACAAACAATGGGAAATGGATAATCTATGTGACTGTACGTGTCTTCGTATATATCCTTCCAGCATCTGAGCGCCCAAAAGCCCTCATTCATCCTCCTCTGGTGGTTGTTTGAGGGCAGGATTCCCATATTTGGCGTCCAAAATCCAAAAAAACTTCCCCTTAAACCATCTTGTATACAAATTTGCCATGGTCCCCATGAACCTAAGGTCGAACCCATTTTGCACCCACCAGGGCGGCTTTCCGCCTCAGTGCTGCCTAGCTCAATGGCCCTGGACAGGTCCTCAATAGCATCCTCTTCGCGGCCTCAGGACGTGGGATGTTGATCCATGTCCCAACCCATGGGGATGTCCCCGCAGCAGTTGGAAAGAAAACAGCAAGTTTTATGGTACAACTATCTGGTCAAAGAATTCGCAAATCTAAAGGCCATTTCGGGAACGCTTCCTCTTTTTCAATCAGGATCTACAGTGATGTCGGAGTGAGGTCAATATAATTCACCCAGAGCTACATAAAAGGACCGACCATTGGGTCAGCCGATGAACATCACGCGGGCCCAGGGGAATCACAGCAGCAACGACCATCTTTTGGGATGACAAAATGCAAATCCTGGATCATTCTACATGATGTTAAGATATGGATGTGGGTCAAAATGGAAGACCGATGTGGGACCACAGATGTGAATGTCTAGTTTAGTATTCACCATCCAATTATTGGGGTACCTAATTTTGACCCATACCCATATGTTAAGTTTCTTGTAGCAATGGCCACTGAATCCATTCGACCCTTGTGTTACCATCGGAGTTCTCAACTTGGGATGCATCCCCACTGAGGAGATTCCGGGTTATCCAGGGCTCAAACCCATCCGATGATAGACAACGCCACGGTTGTAGTAGTGCCTGCCAGAAGCATCACTCAGTCATCAGTTGCTCGGCTGCCCCCGCCAATTGTGCCTTCCTTTCTCTGGTTCCAGCTCAATGACGGCGTCAAAGTCCACTAGTGCCGTCCTCAGTCCCAGAAAGTTAGGTCTTACTAGAAGATTTGAGTCATTTTGGTGGAAGGGTCAGCCATCAGGATCTAAGGCTGTCAATCGCTCTATTGATCTCTCAGAGAATTGACGATTGGCAAGGAGTCGCAAAGGCACAAGGTGGTCTTGTTCTTTACACACCTCGTCTTGACCCCACAAGATCAAAATCATACTGTAGTCAAGATGTCAAGCCATGAAGAAACCCCGATGTATGCTGGGGGTCTATGATTTTAGTACCAAATTCCTCCTATTTGGTGGGTAGATTGGGGTAATGACCTCCAGGGCCTCCAGCTGATACTCACCCATGTCTCGATAGACCAGGCCTCTTGCCTTGGACAATCATCGGTCGAGATGGACATCTTCGATTTTTTTTTTTGAAGACCAACTGGAAAAACATATTAGTCACTTGTTGATAATATACCCATTAAATATGGTTACATCCCTGATTTTCCCTCCGGAAAATCTCCATGCCACCAGTTTGGAGACCTTTGGTCGGCCTCGTGGAGCGCTTCATCTGCTGGAACCCCACCATTGAACGCTTCCAGGGCACCTCAGAAGATTCGGATTCGATGTTGGATGATTTTGCATGATGTTGGATGTTTTTTGCAATCATGTTGGATAACTTTTGAACAAGTTCGGATAAGCTATGGACAATGTTGGATCATTTTAGACTACTTTGGATTGGGACTGGCCTTGGAATTTGGCACTGCCTATGACAAAATTGAAACATCCATCAGGCGTGATCGGTGTCCTATGACAATTTGGATCACTTTGGGCCAATGCGATATTTGAGATCGCAAAGGGAGAGAGTTACCAACCCTGACCCCGAGCGTTCAGTTTCTACCCTCGTGTTGCTGCAGCATTACCCCATAATATCTCGTATGATTTCTGAAAAAAAAAAAAACAGGCTCCGGCGCAATTTTTCTGCCGCAAAGCTTTCGATTCCCCAGATCTTTTCCGTTTGGGCGCGCTTTTCGGCGCCTTCACTTGGTTTCCGCCAGATGACAGCTGAGACAACTCCTTCAAACGGGCGGAAATCTTCGCTCCGTCTCTAGTGCGCTGTCTGGCATCGGCGATGAATGATGAGAGGCCAGTCCTTAGTGGCAAGAACATTCTCATCCCCCGCTTCACTAAGAAAAAATACCTTCCGTTTGAGTTTTGGATGCGTGTCAGAATGACTGCTAGCCCAAAAATGTCTGGGTTGCAAGTGAGCGGAACGTGCGTTCGAATCGAACCTGGACAACATGACCTGTCAAGAGGATACTTCACAAACTAATCGACATGAATGACGCAGTTGAAGAGTGACAAAGTATATTATGGATGCATAATCCACCAGTGCATCCCTCTTGTTCCAGAACTTGCCTGAGGGATTTCAATTCATTTGAATTCATGCATTTCATACACCATCTCAACTTCAGTCACACTTGTTTCAACTTGTTACCGGTAATTCAACATAGCCATTGAAAATGACCATTTACTTCGGGTATTTACCTATTAAAAATGATGATTTTCCATGGAGGGTGGCCATTCCCAGATCCTCAGCGCTGCAAGCGGCGTCAACGACCTGGTGAATGGATCCCCCGTGGGCGCGGCAGTGGGACATGCGGCGGCACGCGACTTCCGGCGGCGGAGCAAACGTTCTTCTGGGCGCGGAAGGTCAGGATGTCAGCTCCGAAAATCTGGGAGTTGGATCTAAGTCCAATTGTGTATTGCTACATTGTAGGTATTTCCATACACATCAAAATGATATAGAGTATATTCAGTATATTGAATTATTGCATGAGATTGTGATTCTCAACGAAATCCTGATGCAGCCACTTGGCTTGTCATTAGAGATTGAGTGTATATCTGCATATCCCATCTGGTAAAGTGGTGAAAGTGCCAACTAAAACTTGCCATATTCTTACTGCAGGGAAACTTTCTACCTCTGCGCTGTGGTAAATTCTCGGAACACCCATGTGCTTTTCTCAATATTAATCTTGTGTCGTGAGTCGTGAGCCCAGCTGTGCCAATGTCGGGTCCCAAAAAGGGTCAAAAAGATCAACCAAACACTTACACCTTCAATCGCCACATGAACGAAGTATCCGCTCTGAAAGAATTTCCAGAGTTACATATGTTACATCATCTCTAAGGCACTACACCCAAAATGTCCATTGCAAAGAACCCATGGTAAGAAAATGTTGAGATGTCCATCCACTGGCAGTGAAGCATCTAGCTGCTTCAGCAAAAGCTTTTGCCAAACCAGATATCCTCGGTTGGAACAAGTGCTTCTTTAGCTACATTCTCAAAGCACAAGCTTCAGCCAAACAATGAGAAGAGAGGCCTTGTTTAGCAAGAAACTAATGGGGATAAATGAGGTCTCACTACTTGCTTGTCGGTGTTATTTCAAGCAAGCATGTTTCATTGCGCAGTTGGGTGTGAAGTCCAAACTTATCCAGGCATCCAGAATTTCTCAAAGCCCTCCAGAGAGCGGAAATATGATGGGTCACATGCACCATCTTCGACGCAGGTGGGCCGGGGTCCCTTGCTCTTGTGGCGAATTCGCCGCTTGGGCGGTGTCGGTGGCTCTGGTCCTGCAGGTTTGCCGTCATCCGAGGAATCGATCAAGTCCGACAGGAAGCTATCCAGAAAGTCTTCCTCCGCAGCAAGCGTGCTTTCAGTCACACAGACACATGGTAAATGTGTCAAGAAAAATGCCAGCCGGACCAATGCTGTTAAATTTAACTGACCACAGTATGATTGTTGAATTGAAACATATTGAAACACTAAGGAACCCCGAAAGTGTCCAGCTCTTTTGCAAACGGTCGCTAAGCAAATTCCAATCCTTGACACTTTTACAAACCACAAGAAACGGGCCTCAAACACTGCCAAGTCTCTTTTTTCGCCGTTGTTTCAGCCTCGTTTCCTTGCTGCGTTTCCGCTTGCCTCGGCTGACTCGGCTGACTCGGCTGACGTCGCTCCTCCTTCCGCCGTCGGCGCAACAGACTGCCACGGCTGGGCTTTGTCTCCGCCGGATCCACTGGGTCAGGGTCTGGATGTGCACTTTCCAGGTCAATCGCGCCGCCGGCTTCAGCCCTGGGCCAAGCATTTTGAGTGATTTCATTTGAGGTTTGACCTTGGATGACCTTGGATGACCTTGAAATCCATGTTCAAATGGGATTTGGATTGATACAAATCTGTTAAACAACAAAAAAATGAATGCAAGAAAGATTTTAGCTCCCTGTGTAATGCCCATATAATGGATGCCGCTTTGACTCAAAATGATCGCCTTAAGAATCGGATGTTGGAACACCAAAATGCCCATAGTCATCCCCCTGATTCAGCTAGAATTTCAGTTGGGAACATAATTTCCTAGACATTCCTAGACTATTGGAAACATTTTGAGGGTAGCCGGGTACCCCGATTGGACAAGGCCCAACTGGCTCCCAGGACCCCAGGATCCTCCACGGCTCTTCCCTGGACTTGAGGAAGGAATCCGCTTCATCCAGCGCCCCCAGCAACGACTCCAAGTCCACCCCGTCGCCCGATGCCATGGCAATGGGGACTACCAGTGCCGCATGGTGGTCACCGTGGTCAGCGGGGTCACCAGTACCCGCAGCTTGTCACATCTTGAGCCCAGCAAAGCATGACATGATGCCAACATCACTTGCCATTCCACGTGCCCAAGGAATTTCGGTGCAAAATGGACAGGCACCAAAAATCAGTCACTCCGTGTTATGAATTTTGGTAGTCCCAAATTTCAGACGCATCCATGTGTCCATGCTTCTGGGAGTGGCACGATCATACTGCCCATCTGCATGGTACATGATGCCAAGATGGAACCTCGGAAAAGGCCGGGACTTGGATCTGGATAAAGTCACCTTCCTTTACTTTCCTTCTAGAGAAATACCGTTGAAATACCCGCTGGTAATCAAACATGGCAAGAGAAGATTCCCTCATTTAGCTTGATGATGTTCCCATTAAAACCTCCTTCTAGGATTTCCCCTTGGGAATGTCTCAAGACAAACCTTTAAAGACCACCATCACCCCAAGGAAGCGCACCTTGACGGATGATGCCCTGCATCTCGGCGAAGGGCCTGACCCATATCATCCATGCGTCATCCATACAGTATACAGTATCCACTATTGATAACTGATATGTATATAGTATATATATTATCAACCATATAACATATATCATCCACATATCTATATATATATATATATTGTCCATTATTGACATAGATGTGGGTAATGCATATATATATATATAATTATATAGATATATGTGATTATCCATTATTCATCATTTTCTCCCATCTTTTCGGTGATTTTTGAGCCGTGAGCTGACAGCGCCGGCGCCTCCTCGTAGCAGGCAATGGCCTCACGCACTTCTCCACAGCCCTGGTAAGCCAGGCCCTGGCGCTGGCGGCGTCGTTTCATGTTGAAAAAGGTGCCAGGGAAAAAATGTCTTTGGTTTACAGGTTTAGAAAAATGTGCCACTCAAATTATCTGGAATGAAAACAGCTGGGCAGGGAAACAAATGGCTTCCGACCCACTCCCAGTCAGTGATGTCGCCCCAGTTACCACGTTTTGACTCTGGAGGTTCCCACTCAACCTGTGGCCATACATGGCCATACAACATGTGGTGGAAACCAATACAGGACATCGGGTGTTTGGGGAATCAGACCTGCCCACCTTGTGATGGAGGTAGGTGGCATTCTCCGGTTCCAGGCGAATGGCTTCAGCATAATCCGCCAAGGCATCCCGGTGGCAGCCCAGTTGGAAGGACGCGTTGCCACGGTTGAAGAGCACCTGGAGATGACGCGAAGATTCAAGATTCATCCTGGTGAACATTCCAAAAGTGAATGGTATGTATATAATTGTATATATTGAATTGAATAATTGAGTACATGCATAATCCTGGATGGAACAAGTGGAATGGCGGTTGATCTCATTTTGGCGGTGTTGAATTCTGCAGTCTGTGAAAGCTGCAAATTCCTCAGGGGCAGACTGAGGCATTCCCAGGCTCAGCCTGCGGCGCGTCACGTGGGCAACTGGATGGACAGCTGAAAAGATTGTCTGCCAACTCAAGGATTCCGTGCAGCATTCTGGCAAACTGCGGCAAACTTGTACTTGATCTGCAAGTTGGACACGCCGAAACACCACAAAACACCTCCAGAGCTGCAGTAAAATCTTCCGCTGCTTCAGTGTACCTCAGACGTTGCTGGGGCAGAACTGCCAAGTGACGTGGGAAAACGGCCTCCCAGCTACGGCAGCTACGGTTTTCCCTGTGGGCCGGGCTTCTCAAGGTGGTAGCAAGCCAGACCGCGGTTGTTCAAATACCTGCAGTGGGTGGATGTGTCTCCAGTGAAGCCCATGAAAAAACACGAAAAAATCAGGCATGGTGTACTTCCGAATGAGAATCATAATCCTATTGAAAATATTGAAAGGCCAATGATACCAGTTCATACCTACATGAAAATCTCTGGAGGACCTATCATTCCAAGTTTTCCTTTGGCTCGTCTTTCAGGTTGCCCGCGGCCTTGAGCAAGGATCCAGCTCAACAGCATTGGCAAAGCAATTTCGAGCTTCTTCCTGGTCGAGTTCCAAAAATCCACAGGATTGGGGTGTGAACAGCCACCTATCTTTGAGGCGATCATGAAAAGCCATACCTGCAAGGTTCATTGCGGAGCCCACAACTTGATCAATATATATATATATATTTGCCAGAAGAGGCTGTGCCTTTCCAATCTTACAGGGACAGCTGTCTCAATGACCAATCCTGCATGCTCCAACTGAGGCCAGGTCGAAGTGTTGCTCTTTGATGTGTGACAGGCCCAAATGGTTGTGAGCTTCTGCGCTTGTCTCAGTGCCAGAAATTCTCCACTGTCTCTATTGATTCTATTGGACCACCTTTGAGATTCAGACTGTGTCCAAATTAATGGCTTCCTTCAGGTTCTGGATGGATTCCGAAATGAGACCAACCTGAGGGATGGAGTCGGAGCAAGGCTGAATTCGAAAGAAAAAACAGTGATGTCTCTTGATCATAGAATAAAAGCATCATGCAATGCGGTATATAGATTCAAAGTATAAATGTATAATAACATCATGCAACATCATAGATACACTGGCAAAGTTTTAAGCTCTGGACTCTCCGGTAGCAAATACCACGGTGGAAGAAGGCCTTGTATGGAGTGGCCAGACGCTTCTCAAGTGCCTGAGTGAAGCCTTCGATGGCTTTCTCATACTGCTCCAGATCGATGTGAACCAACCTTGGTGCGAAACCAAGATCGTCAAAAGGTACCCATGGTATGGTGATGTAGATGACGGTGTAGATACATGTAATTAGATACGGTCTTTATACAGTCTTTATACAATAAAGACTGCCTATGTTTTCTTGTCCTCCCAGGATTCCTGTGGAGCGCACGCTCGTTCAAAGTAATACTCTGCAGCCTCAAAAAGAAACGGAAAACGACGGCGCGGCAACGCGGCAACGCGGCAACGCGGCAATCTCAGCCCCCCCCCACCTGGCGCTGATGAGTTTCGGAGGGATCTTTTTCGGCTTTCGCCCTCTCCAGACCTTGGCTGTGCTTTGAGCTTCCAACAACTAAAATCTCTGGAAAAACAAACGTTGGTTTCTACTATTGTCACTGGTGACATGTTTTGAAGACCATAAGAACCGTGTACCCTCTGGGAATCCAACATGGCAATGGAAAATCCATTATCTATAGAGGACTTTCCCATGAAAAAAGGGTATCTCAAACATCAGAATCTGAGGCACGAAGTGCTTCATCATAGTCGCGCAGTGCTTCCTGGCCACAGACCATTTTGGTCATGTCATGTCTGGGGGAAATACCTCCCCCGTTTTACCGGGAATCATCTGAAATTCCTGATTATTCAGAGATTCTTCATTGTTATTTTGTAGACATTAGAATTACTGTATATGAAATTTATAATATATATATATATAATGTATACATATATATATAATATATTATATACGTATATACAACTAGTTCCAATCATTGATCCCAGCATCTTTCACCACATCCATGTGCCATCCCCTTCCGTTTGCCCGTTCACCCTCCGTCCTCCACACGCCCCAGGCGGCGAAAACAAAGGCCGCGGTGCCCGAAGTGTCTGGCCGTGTGTTCGTCCAAGCGGCAGCACATGCCGAAGTCGGCCAGCGCCCGCGCATACCTGGCCACCAGTTGGGGGTGGCTCAGGGGACGGTGGATGCAACGGCAATGTGTGATGAAAATGGGGGGTTTGAGTGGAATTTTTTTGAAGATTTTGGATGAGAATCCCCACAATTCGGGTTGGTGTGATCGGATTAGTATATCAAATATCCTGGAATTGTGGTCAAACTGAGGTCGTTGCATTACCCTCATAGAAATTCTGAGGTCTGTGTTGCTTCACCATCCGCAGAGAAAATCTTGAACAAAGCTGAGACTGGCACTGTTGCAAGGCGAGGAAACATCGACCTCGAGCCTGGCGCTGGTTGACCAAGACAAACGACTGGTGACCTGAGGAAATTCGTATGAAGATGACCTTCAGATCCATGATGATCATTGATTCCTGCAATTTCCCCTTACCAAGCGATTTTTCGCCACGCCATCTTGGATATAAATGACTTCGAAACAACCTGCATGACACGCAAGTATTCCCGAGGTGCTGGAATTATGCCACAAAAACACTTCTCCAAGTGAACCCCCGCAATCATGCCGCGGAATGGCTTGATAGTACTGAGCATGGTTGGCACGAAGTGAAATGGCCTGCAGCGGCATGGCTGATGAGGATTGCTCTAAAGATATAGGGTACCCAACATCCAATGATCTATTTTTCTGATCATCATGTTCCCTTTGAAATGGAGTATCCCTCATGCACTGTTCGAAAATTGTTAGCCAACCAGCCTCTGAAAAGAGCTGAGCACAGGCTTCATATTCAGCAACTGCTTGTTCGCCCACCGAAGCCTCCAGGGGCCAAGTTGGAAACCTGGAAATGATGTGAGTATATGTGAGTATCATCTATACCATCCTGGAAACACTTGTCTTTTGGGGGTTGCTACATGGTAAACTACGGTCTTCAGCTATATGTTCTCAGAACATGAATGCCATGACTTTGCAAAAAAAAACTACGAGCAATTACTCAACGAGGCGTTCATCTTCTCGTGTAATGGGGGCCGAACTTTTGGCCAGAAGCTACTTTCGTAGGAATTGGTGTCAATCGTTTGCGGCCTCAGGCACATTCTAATCTTCCACTGAATGCTATGAGTGCTCCTTGTGGTTGAGAACCCTGAACAAAGCGGATAAAGTATCTAGTGTCCCAATTGTTGAAAATCACTAAGTTCTATCCCATTTTTGCATGTTCACCCAACATCACTTCGTTATTATTATCCCGTTTTGGTCATTTTTGAGGAGTAATTACGCTCCAAATCCCCCATTTGGGTTTTGTCCGAAAATGATGAATTCACTCCCAAGCCGAAGTACCCAGCTATATGTATATAGGGAAAATGAGGTGTCATCAACAATCAAAATTGTTGTTCTTCCCAAAGTTTTCAGGTGCCAAACCCATATTGCCATATTGTTGATAATACACTGTGTCAAAGAATATGACTAGTGACTATTCCACTTTTTGGTATCAGTGATACCCTGCGGTGGTCAAACATGGCTTCGTAAAATCCCCCATTCATAGATGGTTTCCCGTTTGGGGATGTCCAAGCTCGCCATGGATTACCAGAGGGTAATTGTGTTCCCATGAAAATTGTATCCCCATTATCCCCATTCAGATTCCATGAATATCATGGTTATATCATGTTATATCACTTATATCCCAGAGGGTGTGTCCCATCAAAGATCTCCATTGCGAAGCAATGGCGCCTGCGCTTTCCTCAGCTGCTGCTGACCCTGGCGGAAGACCTCCGCCGCTTGCCGTTGCCTGGATGCTGCAGCAACGCTGAGGAGTTGCCCATCGAACATTGAGGTGATGTATGCGATGTAGGTGATGTATATAGATGAAGCAAAAAGTAGGTGATGTGAAAATTGAATTTGGGGAAGGAAAGAATGATATCACTGGCAAAATATGAGGTGTTTGATCGGTTTTGAAACCAGCAAACAAATATGAGGATGTAATGGTTTTTGAGCGTTGCTTCTACCAAAATTATTAGGACTTTGACGACAGGATGGATTTGACCCAGCGCAAATGGGATTTCCCCATCTAAAACACATGGGTCTCAAGCAGCAAGTTGAGTGGTTAGACTTGCTACAAATAAAGGAGTCGCTAACACTCCCGATGGATGCGTTATATAGTTGTTTCATGCTGTTGGGGTGGTGTGGGGCCTCTACAATAAGTGATCCTTTCAGGGGATTTTTGGAGTGTCCATTGAAAGAATGACGCCACCAAATGATCTTGTGAACAAAAAAAACACGTTTCCCAGTGCGGGTTGTCGCAAAATCGGCTACGCCCCCAATTTATGACCATCAAAAATAATTGTTCTTGAATTAATATACCTAAATAACCTCTGGACCAGTGGATTATGGGGCACCCAATTTTCAGACATACCCGTGTCGCTGAGGAATGCACTTCAGCTTGTCATCTTCCCTTTCGTGACCTCCATGCCTCCGCATCCAACTTTGAGGACCATTTTTACCGAGAAATGTCCTAACTATGACTTCCAGGCACGACCAAAAAAGTTACTTATCAATAATATGACGGATACGAGCGGGTATTAGATATTACATATATGACTAACCATGGCAACATGACAAATATCTAGAATCTAAACAGTCGATCGCGGGTACCTTTCCCCATGGCCGAGGTCCATGCTCTTTCATCCATCAGATGGCTGAGGGTATCCGTTGGTGGATACCCGATACACAGCGTTTCGATCTTCCCAAGATACGACGACTGCAGCTGGGCTGTTTGATGTGAGTAGAAACCACTGTTCGCCTGTTGGCTCGTGCCTGCAATTGTGAGAAAGTGTTATGATCTTGAAAATCTTGATGTGGATAATGAGCCACTGTTGGCATGCTTGCTCCATAAACGCTGCGCGGCTGGTCGAGTTACAGAAAACAAAGGAAGAGCAACATGTTTACACCCTTCACTCGCATGGCACTGCGACCCACCCAGCAGAGAAAAACAATTACCAACAGCAGCGGTAGTTTAGTCATCCTCATCCTCATTTTCCTGATCCTCACTTTCCTCACTCTCACTTTTCTCAACCTCCTCCCCATCGTCATTATCACCAATATCACCAAACACCAGCATCAACATCATCAAAATCCATATAGAATAATGTTTTATTCTATGGTATCATGTGTACATATATATATGATATATATATATATGATGTATATACAGATAAATTTTCATGTCAATTTTGAAGGAAACCTCCACACTGAGAAAACACAGACCAGACAAAGAAAAGCGCCCTGTCTTTGGGTGCCGGGCCGCAAAGCCTGGGCAAGACCTTGGTGAAGTCTGGGGCCCCATCGGGAAACCCATCATTTTTCCAAGGCTTCATTATTGGTCGTATACCATTAGCGTCGAAAAATACTTGGCCGAAAATGGGAAATAAACATCTGACCAAAATTATTAGGGGAAAAATATAAAGGCTGGTTTTTGAACCCAAGATCAGAAAATACCATTTAGTGGTTACCATGGAAAAATACCGACCAAAATTTGGGAAAACCAATGGTTAATGATCATTATCCCAACAACACACCAATTTTGGTATCCCCAGGTTCAGACACACTCATATACTGTAGATAGATGGTGTATCGATTCAAGGAAGACAGGACGGCTGTGACGTGCTGAGAGCAAGGTGGGACAAGTTGTGGGGGTTCTACTGCAAATGTTTCGGTGCAAGCAATTAATGTAAGGTGTGACCAGGAGCCCCTATGTATAAGAATATACAACTGTGTATGTTATTATATATATATAGTACATATATATATAACAGAACAATAGTTGTACATATTTACATATGCATATATGTAAGCGTTGGAAACAACCACAGTGCGACCTTCACCCACCGTTGCACACATTGTGGTTTTCTCCAAACTTGGCACGGCACTCTCTCCCTCATCACTCGTTGACTGCACAAGGGGCTTTTGGTGTCCTGCCCACTGCTGAAAACAGCCAGCGTGAAATGGAATCTCACCAGCTACATCTTTCCATGACATCGCCAGCTACATCTTCGTTGCACAGCAAGACTATCTATCTATCTATCTATCTATCTATCTATGTATCTTATATCTATGTATCTATGTATCTATGTATCTATGTCTCTATGTATCTATCTATGTATCTATCTATGTATCTATCTATGTATCTATCTATCTATGTATCTATGTATCTATCTATGTATCTATCTATGTCTCTATCTATGTATCCATCTACGTATCTATCTATGTATCTATCTATGTATCTATCTATGTATCTAGGTATCTACCTATCTACGTATCTACGTATCAAAGTATCTACGTATCTACGTATCTACGTATCTGGTATCTATTCCATGTTTCTATAAATCTATGTATCTATGTATTTTTGTATCTATGTATCTGTGTATCTATCTATCTATCTATCTATCTATCTATCTATCTATCTATGTATGTATGTATGTATGTATGTATGCATGTATGTATGTATGTATGTATGGGTGTATGTATGTACGTACGTACGTACGTATGTATGTATGTATGTGTCTATGTATGTATCTATCTATCTATCTATCTACCTATCTATCTATCTACCTATCTATCTATCTACCTATCTATCTATCTATCTATCTATGTATCTATGTATCTATGTATCTATGTATCTATGTATCTATGTATCTATGTATCTATGTATCTATGTATCTATGTATCTATGTATCTATGTATCCATGTATCTATGTATCTATGTATCTATGTATCTATGTATGTATGTATGTATGGATGGATGGATGGATGGATGGATGGATGGATGTATGTGTGTATGTGTGTATGTGTGTGTGTATGTGTGTATGTGTGTATGTATGTGTGTATGTGTGTATAGTGTATATATATGTATATCATGATAATCATGGGTAATCATGGGTAATCATACAATATATGTCCACGTCAACGGAAATCACAGCCAGCTCCTGGAGTAGCTTCGGAAGACCTCGAAGAAAGGTCACCCGCTGCGTCTGGCAATCGCTGTGAGGATGGCTCTGAATGCTATGAGACCTCCTAGGGTTGGGTGAAAATCAGTGTCAGTTTAAAGGGTGGGGATCAGCAACTCAGGTAGGAGACTTACCTTCTGAATTTCCTATGCTGCCATGAAATCTCACATCTGGACAGGAAACCCTGTTGCTACTTCTGGTGGCTTGCACAACTTCTGGCTCTGGCAAGGTACGGGCTTTTGAGGCCTCTTTTGTTTTCGGCACAAAAAGTATTGAAACAAGCTAAAAGCTGCATCTGATCACAGCTTTGCATTGGGTCAGTTCAGTTCACACCTCATCCTTCTCGTTGAGCTGCTCCAAGAAGCGAATGGCTCGCACCTTGCGGCAACTGTCTGTGAGCTAAGCCCACGACATCCATGATGGAACCTTTGTGAAATCTCTGAGAACTGGACGTTCACATCCATGAAGAATTCAGAGTTGATAAACGCCTCAGCTCAAAGCACCAAAAGTTATGTCCTTTTAGGAAAAGGAGAATCAAGAATAGACATTCCAACCAAAGGAACAGCATGGGCATGGTTTAGTACGGCCTTAGGGGATTTACACTGATTTGAAACCCTAGAATCAAAACTGAGGTGCTGACCGCAATCGTGAGCCTCTCAGACGGATTCGGACCTGTGCAAGTGTGACCGGGGTCAAACCCAGCCCCAATCAAGGTACATGGAAAAAAGTCGGAGAGTTCCATCAAAAATATTGAATATGCTGGCAATATAACGGGAATACACTGGGAATATGTCATCAACTATGTCATGTGGATTTATGGAAATCCCACCATGAGATTGGGAATCATCCACATCTACAATCACCACCAGAAGGTGCTAAAAATGTTTGGGGATGATATACCAAATAGCCTTGGGATTATAAACCATATATATATATCCATATAGCACTTCTCAAAGATTTTTCGGAATATCCATATAGCACTTCTCAAAGATTTTTTCGGAATATCCATATAGCACTTCTCAAAGATTTTTCGGAATATCCATATAGCACTTCTCAAAGATCTTTCGGAATATCCATATAGCACTTCTCAAAGATTTTTCGGAATATCCATATAGCACTTCTCAAAGATTTTTGGAATATCCATATAGCACTTCTCAAAGATTTTTCGGAATATCCATATAGCACTTCTCAAAGATTTTTCGGAATATCCATATAGCACTTCTCAAAGATTTTTCGGAATATCCATATAGCACTTCTCAAAGATTTTTCGGAATATCCATATAGCACTTCTCAAAGATCTTTCGGAATATCCATATAGCACTTCTCAAAGATTTTTCGGTAATATCCATATAGCACTTCTCAAAGATTTTTTCGGAATATCCATATAGCACTTCTCAAAGATTTTTTCGGAATATCCATATAGCACTTCTCAAAGATTTTTTCGGAATATCCATATAGCACTTCTCAAAGATTTTTTCGGAATATCCATATAGCACTTCTCAAAGATTTTTCGGGAATATCCATATAGCACTTCTCAAAGATTTTTTCGGAATATCCATATAGCACTTCTCAAAGATTTTTTCGGAATATCCATATAGCACTTCTCAAAGTTTTTTTCGGAATATCCATATAGCACTTCTCAAAGATTTTTTCGGATTATATATGCATGCGTCCATCATCTGCCAAATGCCAAGTAGCTCAGCAGCTTCAACAAGATAGGATACAGCTCTGGAGGCACGGCTTGTTGCCGAATGGCACCGGTGTTGAATCCTGAACAGCCAACATTCAGCGCAAAGAAATCCGGGTGAGGCATCAAAAATACTGTGTTTTCCCATATGATTTGATTGGTTGGTTGGCAGGTATCTCGGTGGATAACCCCCTGTAATAACCAATCAATATTGGTATGTTTAAATGGCGCAGGTGTTCCCACAAGGACACACAAAGTACACCAGTCATCACCACTTCATCCACCTCCATCCACCAGTTTTCCAAGAGCTTTCCTGACACCGGTGATTCGCACCTCTAGGAGCGCCGCGCAGAAGTGGCTGACGATCCACACACATCAGCTCATACCTCTCTCGGCCAATGTGTTTTGTGCATCAGCACCTGTTTTGGAGCCTGTTGATCATTCCAATCTCTGGGACAAGACTCTTCAACTGGTGCTTTCCACCAGGCTTGCACCAAAGGATCGAGCTTCTTTTTTGAGGCACTTGCATGCGAGGCGAATGAACGCATATATACACATTTGGTCCCTAGAGGACTGGTGACAATGAGCGTGTAAGCTCTATTTTCATCGGGAAATCCACACCCACTGAACAGAGTTGCCCGGATGTAGACAATGTTGTGAACTACGGATCTCTGCAGGTTTGATCAGGTTTGATGACAACTGAAGCACCGCAGCACTCACTGGTCTCTGTTTGCCGCGAGGCTGTCAGGTTGGATACCTGCGATGATCAGCAAGTTTATTGCAGTCGGCCATGCGGAGTGAAAGCCTTGCATTGTTTCTACAAACAGAGAGCTAAATAAACAAACACATGAGAAGGTCAAAGGTTGGAAACTACTCATTCGTTTCAGTTTCGTTTCCGTCCATGTCAGTCCTGTTGTTTCTTCGGAACAGTGACGCAGAATGCTCCAAGCGCCTCAACTGCTTGTGTCCTTCTTCTTTCTCTTCTTGTCCTTCTTCTGTCCAGATGATGCGGCTATGATTTCCTGGCTGAAGGACCTGGGTCGCAGCACAGTACAGGGCTGCGAGTCACTGTGTACCTGATTCTGATGAATGCTAGAGGTTGAACATCTAGTCTCGGCTATATCGAGCAGAAATTACACTTCCAGATTTTTGCCACTACCAAAATTGACCAAGAACAGAACAGTGCACTGTTTTTGGCTCATTTTTTGTGACCTCCACCTGAAACCAACGGCGCCCACAACAACTGGGGAGGCGGACTTCCATTGATCCACGGTCTTCAGCGCGAAGGCATAGCTTGCTGCCCAAGCCTCGCAGCTGTTGAACATGTTGGCAAACCAATGGGGTGGTGTTGCTTAAAAATAGAAGAAAACATGGTCAAACAAAGATTATGAACTTCAGGATATAAACATCTGAAAAGTCTGAAAAAGTATAGACCTACATAATCCGTTCATAATCCCAGATTTTGGGGAATCAAACAGGCTATGGCACGTTCAAGATCGCAAGCTCACCTGCTCCACCACTTTGGGAAGCTCTTCCTCCACCTAGGCGTCAGGAATGGGGGATTTATCCCCAAAACATTGCCATTTTAAAGAGTGAAAATCTTGATAGACCTAGTGATTAACAACTGGATTTTGGGGCACCCTGATTTCGGACAAGCCCATGTGTATAGGTTTCTCCCTGCTTTCAGTATATCCCTTCTGTTTGGACAAACCAGCTTTGCATCTGCAAGACCCCATCGCGTTGGTATTTACTCCAAAATCAATAAATAATAATAAATCGATGAAATTTAACCAGGCGGTCATGCAGAAAATCTGAACATGCTGCCATTGTTCTCGATGGGTCCCCTGCGGGCCGGTAGCAGTGAGGCACTCCACCAGGCACTGACTCATCGTGGCAACACCTACCAGACTGAACATCCCAAGGAGTGGTGCCAAATGAAAATGGAATACCCACTATTTGGTACATATATGATCGAAAATTTGGTACATAGTGGGATGCCATACTAGTATATAAATAATGTATAGCAGCGATACCCAAACAGGAGGCTCCCTGTTCCATTTCTACCATTTTTGCAGGGCTGATTTCTCCCACTCCAATGATTTTGAGCGCTGTAACATACGCACAATGACCAGCCTCACTAGTTTGTACGCCACAGCAGCCGAAAAGCCAAAGTACCACCTGCCACTGAAATCCACGGGAGACTGTAGCTCAGCAAGGTTCAATCTGCCTTGGTAATTCCTTCCCAGTGATATTTAAATACCACACTAGAAATCCATTGTGGGGTCCATATGGGGTATTTGATATTCAGGGATGGGCAATCAGAATGAAGTGGAGAGCTTAACTCTCCTCTCGTGGTAATACCCAGCAACACACAGCTGGCGCACACTGGCAAAGATGCAGTGCCGTAGCCCGAGAGCAACCAACAACTGAAACCTGCAGCTGTCACATCACAAAGTCACTGACTAGTGTAGCCACTCTTGTATCACTTACTGGCTATGGGCCCAAATCCTGGTACTCTTGTAAACCCCAAAGTAGCATAAAATCGCTTGCAAATAGATATTCAATGATATTCATCTTCCCAGATATTGGGCCTCCCCAAAGATTTTAGTCCATAACCACGTTCTGAAAGTCACTTTGGTTCTGGTTTGCTTCGGCTCAATTCAAACGAATAAAGTCCAGAGTTGCATGAAATGCTCATGGCCCACGGCATCAAACTTGATGAACCCGGCCTAGTGTGCCTAGTTGAGTCGTCAAATACGACCAGCCTCGCCATTCCCAATGGTTATGTGGGCGACCAAGAAACAGGAAAGGCGCCCTACAACGGGGATACCAAGGGAACCACGGTACAAAAGTCATGTCATCAAAAGTCATCAAAAGTCATGATGTTTAGTCTTGAATCATCTTGAATTCCCTCCAATGAGGGTTCACGTGCTCCTGAGGATTTCACGTTTAAAACCCGGCGCAGTCAAGATGGTTTCGATGGTTCCTGGCCTCAGCAGCCGCAGTGTTTTCTTTCCAGTCTTTCCAGGAAAGGGAAATGGATCAGAATCGTAAAAATTATGGGAATTATGGCTTTTGTTAGTGATTTTTCAAGGATTTTCTCTTTCTGTCTACTAGATCCCGCCCGACCTCTTTCTGCGGCCCCAACTTGGCACTGCTTCGCAGCCACAGCAAAAAGCTCGGCCTTGATGCAGTCTGTAATTAGATGAGACCCTGCTTCCTCCAATGGTTCTCCCATTCAGTCAATTTGAGAACTGTCAAGATATGACATGCGCTGGCTGAAAGAAAAAACACCTTGAGAGAGGAACCATCTAAGGTCAGCACAAGGAAGAACGACGCACGTCGATCTCTACAATTTTTTCACTTGTCCGAGAGAGTGCCTCCGTGACAAATTCTATCGCCAAAGAGGATGTAAACAAGTTGTGAGACGCAGCCCTGCTCAAGACCCACTAGTTTGCCCTCCCTGAAGACCCACTAGTTTGCCCTCCATTCAGGCTCTGAGGATCAAACCTCAGCTAAGCTCTTCCCGCTCGCCCCGTCAACCTGTCAAGGTCTAGTTTCAAGATGAAGCAGGCAGCTATAGGAACAGGTGCCATAAGAATCTAGCCTAAGCGGTAAAGACGAAATCCACTTGATCTGGAAGCACTATGAGGCACAACCATGGGGGGGGCATCCCAGCCTTGGCCACAGCATCTCCCACTCGGATCCTCTGCAAAGAATCTGCCGGTAGCTGGTCATTGTATTGTTGCCTCGGCCCCGATGCCTGTCCTGGGCCTGGTCTCTTGTTCATATGGCGATGAACCAAAGGAATATCAGCTACGTTTAAATATATATATATATATGCATGTATGTTTGTATGTTTGAGTGAAATGTTGCCAGCGCCCTCCAAACAATCACGCCATGCCCTTTTTCCACAGGGTCCGCGACTGGTAGCCAAAATGGCTGTCGGATTCCAAAAGATAGATGGAGCTGCACCAAGGATTTCCAAGGTTGAACATGCCTTAATTTCACACATCCCCCCGTTGATCCATGCGTGCAGCTTTCCTGTAAATCTGCCTTTTCTTGGCAGCTTCCTTGCGCAAATCCTGTGCCTCTGATGTGTCTTTCAGAGACCAGACTCCTTCAGCTAACGCTCGTTCGAGCTCATTGTTGGAATACCATTTCGTCATGGCGTCAGCAATCAGATGATGACCTGGCACCCAGCGCACGAAGGCGTTGATGTCCTCCTCCATCAAAGCCTGCTTCAGGACCGCCAGGTCAATCTGAATCTTTCTGTCTGAGGTTTGCGTCTCGTTGTTCAGCACATCGAAACCAGTCTTGGAGTCAATGACCAGGTAGTGCTCACGTGCACTGGCCCATACCTTCCATTCCGGAAGATCGAAGTCTCTGTTGAGAACTTCTGCCAGTGCAGCTCGTACAAAATCTCCATGTTCATATGCCGTTGCTGCCATGGAGACCTCTGCGCTCATCGAGCATCTGACCACTCGTTGGATCTTCATGCTTGCCGCCTCCACCACAGCCAGGTTCGCCTCACCGTCCAAGATGCCCTTTTCGGCGATGCAAATCACCAGGCCTCCCTGACTGTATCCCCCAGGCTGTGCTCCATAGGCCGCGTCGCTCGCCGACACAATGATGTAGTTTCGCCAGTCCTTCAGCCTCTTCACCACTTGAATCGCTGGCTGCTTGGCACGATACACCACCTTGTTCAGCCATTCCAGTGCAACGCGACCTTCTCGAGCTGCCAACTGTTGCACATGCGACACCCCATAGGATAGGTCATAGCGACCCTGCCTCGCCATCCAATTCAGCTGACCCAAGATGGATGACATCTGCAGCTTCTCCTCTGGTGACATGGCAGTGCTCGCAGTCTTGGCATTGCCGGTGGGAAGCTTCACCTTCTGAATGTCTTTGGCGTACTCCTCCATGGCGTACTCAAACTCAAGGGTCTCCGGGTTCTGCCTCTCCCACCTTCCGCAAAACTTCGTCCAGCCTTGCGTCGCACGCCGCAGTTCGCCAAACTTGAGCTTCTGGTGAATCTTGTCCCAGATCTCCTGACTTGTCTCATCTCCACAAAAACGTGTGTCGTCCACATGAATGCAAGCCAAAGCTCGCAATTCACCATCTGGATGGTATGCTGCGAACACGCCCGGCAGGATGTCCATCTCCTTCATGTCACATTCCTTGAGCGTGTCCCTGTAGCATAGATACCACAGTCTGGGTGATTCCGGAAGACCGAAGCCGCCCTTCGTCAACTGCAGCAAGTCTTCTCGATACTCGACCCCCAGCTGCTCCAAGATGAACTTCCACACGCACTCTGGATATCCCTTCGGCAACCTGATGTAAACTTCCCGTTCTTTGGGCAAGGGTTTGCCCTGCAGAAAGGCACTGGACACGTCCTCATAGTTTACCACCCACTGCTTCTGCACCGCAATCCAGTTGATGAGATTGTGCGCCAGGAGCGCTGCCGTGGGTGCTAGCGTGGCGTACTTGCCCATGTCGGGGTCCATGTGTCCTCCAAGAATCAGTCTGGCCTTCAAGATCGCATCCTTCAACTCCGGCCCACCTTTGTTGGTCAGCACGAACCTTGTTGAAAGGATCCTCTTTGGGTTGATCACCTTGTCCTTGGGTACACCAGCCAGCGCATCATGGTCGAAGTAGATCTTCACAGCCTTGACCAAAGGCTGTTCATAGGCCTTCTTCCATTCGTCATTGAGCTGCGACCATTGATATTCCAATCTGGCTTTGCCGGTGACGATCTTCCCCCTTGCCAGATCAGATCGGTGCTCATAGACCTTGTCCTCGATCTTGGTATTGATCTTCTGCAGGTCCTTCTTCTTCACCAAAGGCGAATTCCAGAATGCTTCCTGCTCCTCCAGTTCCTTGCATGACTCTTGCCACAAGACCTCATGAGGAGTCGGTTCTAGCACTTCTGCCAACATCACCAGACTGCCCACTGATTGTTCTTCTGATCTCTGTTGGCGCGCTTGAGGTGTCATTGGTGCCCTTCGCTGCTTGTTGATGAGCTTCCTGATGTTCTTCACCTGCCGGCTGGCCAGGCCCATTCCACTTCTCACACGCGCTTCAGTCAAGGTCGACGGCAACCCTCCTTCACGCCTTCCTTTCTCAAACAGCGCTTTCTTCTCAGGAAACCTCAAACGACTGGGTTCCACTTCCTCAGCTGGTGCCACTGGTTCTTCAGACATCTCTGCATCATCCTCCATCAAGAGGTCCCTTCTCTCACTTGCGTCCAGCTTTCTCACAAGGACTCTGCTGCTCTGGCTTGAACTTGACAAAGCACCTTGTCGGATCGAATCCGGGACGTCATTCATGATCTCCATTCTGCGCACTCTGCGCATGCGCTCTTGCACCTGCGTGTCATCCAACATCTCGTTGTCGACCTCCTCCATGTTCGCCGATGTGTTGGGCACCGCAGGCAATGCACGCACCGGCTGATTGCGATCTTCCTCAAGGCGCAGATTGCCCTTCTTGATCTCGTCCTGCATCTCCTCCAAGATCTGCACGCTGAATTGTGATCCCAGCATCTCATCTGGGGTGGCCAGTCGTAACTTTTCCAATGGATAACTTCGCACCTTCCCTCTGATGCGAACCCACACTCGATTGGGAACGTTCTGTTGACGCTCCACGCAGACCACCAAGCCTGGACCATCCCAGCTGGAATGGTCTTGCAGTCGCCGATGTTGGCCTCGACGATTGGGTGGGGGCTCATGCACATACACCGTGGTGCCCTCAAAGATCCCCTCCAACTTCGGTGGCCTTGATCGCCTGTTCAGCCCTTCCCTGATGACTTGGTTGGAGTCAATCCAGTTGTAGCTGTCGATGGCGGCTGCCCGAATGCGTTCTGCTCGACGAAGTGCATCTCGTAGTTCAAGTTCTTCGTTCATCGCAAACCTCACTTGACCACTGCAGAGCTGCTCCATCACCGAAACGGGGACTGTTGTGTTCTTGCCCGTGACCGCTTGCAACGGTGACAGGCCAGCTCTGTTGCACAAGCGGTTCTTGGCATTGAAGCAGCTCGCGGCCACCAACTTGATCTCCTCCAACCCGGCTGCCTGCTGCGTCGAGATCACCCTCATCATCATCAGCTTGATAATGGCGCCATGTCGTTCTACTTGACCCTGACGCCATTTGGCCCCTGGTGGAACCACTTCATGCCGGAAATCCAGCAGTCTGGAAACTCGCTGAACCACATCTGCATATTCCTTCCCTCCATCGGTCTGTAAGACTTCGGGGGGGCCCAGCACTGCGCACCATCTGTTCTGCAGCAGCTCCGTTGTGACATCCGCCCCCACCTGCTTGCTGACCAAACCCATGTGATACTCAGTCAAGCCGTCGATCATGTGAGTGACATTGAACCTCTCGCCTTTGACGTCCCACACGAAAAAGGAGTCAGACAACACCCTTTCCCCAAAGCGGGTCGGCCGCGTAGCCGCGACCTTCGGTTCAGCTCCAGGAGGACGTACTGCTTGACAAATCTGGCATCTCAACCCTTTGGCAATCTCCACCACCTGGTTGCTGCACCCGCTGATCATGAGCATCCGCACCAATCGTTCCATGGAAGGATGCCCCAGCACGACATGCAAATGCGCCAAAGCTTGCCTCATCTTGTAGGGACCTTGTCGAGCAACTCCATCAAAATAGACATAGTCGTACTGGCCTCCTCTCCAATCAGCCTTTTCCAGCTGTCTTCTCAATTCTCCCTCCGGGGTAGGTGTCGGCTCCACTGGCAGGATGTAGTGTGCTGCCCCAGCTTCACGACCTTCTGTCAACTTCTTGGGTGCATGCTGGTCACATTTCTCCCATGCGCTCTCGGCTGCACGCAAAATGTGGTCACAAAGTTCTTCAGGCCACTTTGCTGCCAAAGCCGATCGACGCTGCCATCTGCCATTGTAGAAGACGTTGCCCTCGATCGGTTGGTGCTCCTCCGGGGTGTGCCTGCATGTAGCCCCCTCCATCAGCGCTTCTCGCATGCCAGCATCATTGACATCCAGGGCGGTGTACTTCTGGTGAGGTTTTCCCGACACTGCATCCTTCAAACCGAAGGCGCACTGGGGGATCTTGGATCTGTGCAAATTGGGTCGCTCCATCATGAAGTCCATGGTCAGCGCCGCCGACTGGTATGGGTTCTCCGTCAGGACTAATCGTCCATTTTTGTCTTGCTCATCCCATACCTTGCGGCAGAACCTCCAAAGTGGAATGTCCTGCTGCCGATCTTCCATCACCTTGTCCACGTTGGGGTTGATGCGTTGCATCTGGCTCCATGGTCCACATCGAGGACTGAGCGTGACCAAGTCCGGCTTGAGATCTCCGATTCTGTCCAGGATCTGCTTCTGCGTGACCGGGTTCTTCAGGTCATAGCCGTAGATGATGTCAATCGGCTCCATTGCTCGCCACCCCTCACGCACTGATCCCCTGGCCGTCAATCTCGCACATCCAGCGAAGATCTCCATGACGACATAGTACGGCCGTGCCCCAGCCAACGTAGTCACCAAGGCCTGTTGCGCACACACTTCTCCCATGCCCTTCTTGAGCTTTTGCATCATCCCTCGCTGTGGTTGCAGTCGGCGCCACTCCTCTTCCCTGTGAAGTCCGAAGATCTCAGCCTCTGCCTCATTGCTCCGAAATGCCCCCAGGTCGATGCCACCTCCGTGCTCAGCAAGAGATTGAGCCACCTCACGTTGCGTTTCCATGTTGCCTTGCCTTTGGACTCCACTCGGATAGCCTCCTTCACTCGAAGCTGCCACACCACCTTCTTCCATAGGTAGGTTCTCATCCGAGATTGAAAGCACTTCAGTATGTTGCATGCCAGGTCGTCGCTCCACACGTTGCTCAACGATGGGTAACGCGACTCCCACCCTGTAAGTGCTGCTGTCGCCATCTTCTTCTTGGCCTTCTCCTCCTCCTTCTCCCGGTGCTTGTAGACCATCTGCAACTCCTGCATGGTCAGGCCCTGAATGGCATCCGTCTCGACCAGGCGTTGACCTGGACCTTCGTCTTCGGATGGCGGCAATCCCCTGTTGATTTTGCCCGATCGCCTGGTGGTCGTGTTCTTCTCCATCTGCTCTGGTATCATAGGACTCAATCTGGTTGAAGATTCGCCCCTGATGGCTGCTGCACGGGCTGCGGGACCTCGACCGCGACCCTTTGGCTGTTTGTCCACTTCCATCGAGGTTGGAGGCTCCTTTCTCGCAGCTTGGCGTGGTTCTTCCTGACGTTGTAGATGCTCCACCTCCTGAAAGCTGTCTCCGGTCTGTGAGTCCACTTCCACCATGGATTCCGGATCCGACAAGTTCGGACACTGACGAGTCCGATGGCCCACATCGCCGCACATCCAACATAGCGGAGGATTTGGCACAGACATGCGAGTCAACGTGGGCAGTCTCGAATTGCGTTTGCTCGGAGCCAAACACTTCACATTCATGAACTGTATGAGGCACCATGCCAACTTCTTGATGATGCTCCATCGAAAATTCTGTCTCTGCCTCACCTGCCTCTTCGATCAAATGGAACTCATCTATGGATACAGTATAGTGCCCCGCCCGAGTTTCACTGAGTCCATAGTTCTTCACATGTAGCTTTCTAGAAGACATGGTGTGATGTTCTGTGTCCAGCTGAACTCCCAATTGGGTATGAGATTGTTTTGACAAAAGTGGAGGACAAGGACCAGGAACCACGCTAAAAGCCAACAACACCATCTTTCCACCAAAAGTCGCTTGAAGTTGCAGACGATACTTGCTCCTTAATGTGTTGCCATCCCCAAACCTGAAAACTTCGTCCTCTTCCAAAACACGAAACCATCTCTGTTGTTGTTGCCACTCAGAAACCACATCGTTGGCCCACTGAACACCCACCACATTCCTCATGCAGCCTAAATCAAGAATCACCTTTCTGGATAACTCCTTCATATTCCACCATGCTTCAAAAGGAACTACCGGAGTTTCATGTTTTGGGGTAGTAGCTCCAAGGTCATTCCCACAGACTGCCCGTTGCACCATGTATACTGCTCTTGCGGATGAGTCTGCCGCCAAGCTGTCTTTGCAGAGAGATTCCAACAGACCCCATTCGGTCTCGTGGTCAGATTCCAGCTTGTGGGCAGTGACCAAAACTGGATTCGGAGAAGCTGCAAGTGCTGCCTTCACCTTTGGGCAGTCCCGAGCAAAATGCCCAGGCTCGTCACAGACGAAGCACTTGCCACCCTTGGAGTTCTTCTTGGATTCCCCTTCGGACTTTCTATAGTAATTCCTCATCTTACGTGCTTCAGCCATCTTCTGCTTAGCCCTGAACTGCAACGCCAGGGCCTCATGCTCTGCATGTAGAACATCACTTGGTACTTGAGGATCACCGTCATCACAGCTCTCATCTCCTGCTGGGTCTTCTGGAATGCCTTCCAAAGAAACATTTGTCTCCGTGTCCACCTCGTTCAACTCAGCCACCAAAGCGGCCTTGTCGCGCCGATTGAAGCGCAAACCCAACACTCCTCTCTGCACCAAATGCTCTTCTCCTTGCGCTCCACTCAACTGAGCTTCTGCTTGTCCGATGGGATACCCCTGTTCACCTTCCAACTCACTGGAGAGCTCCATCATGGCTCCGGTGATCGATACTTCATCTTCATCACCTGCACGTGTCTTGATCATGGCCTTGTCCCTGCGAGTCAACCTCGCATGATCCAGCAAGTGACCCACAAAAAACCTCTCCCATGCTCAAGGCTGCATCTAGACCTTCAAGTTGTGCTCGATAAAGTCCAGCTCGGGTGATATAGCTCTCCAAGCTCTCACCAGCCACGCGTGACAGCGTGAGCAACCGCTTCCGATGCCAGTCCACCCGGTGCTTCTCACTCTGCTTGATGAGCGGGCTCTTCTCCAACGTCTCAAAAATTCTCTGAAGCCCTTCCTTCTGGCCCACGTCTTCCGGTTCCAAGTGTTTGACTAGTTGTGCAGCTCGATCACGTAGTTGCACCATCACCCGTGGCCCTACCAAACTGGTCGGAAGCTGTTGTCCTTCACCATGCAACCAAAACTTGACAGATCTTTTCCAGTCTCGGTAATTCTCACCCTGACGAGCTCGAAAAACTGGGGGATAGCTATTTGAAACCTTGCCCGAGAGCTTCTTCTCCTCTGCCTTGTCTGCCCGCTCTTGTACACTAGTGACCTTGCCACTGGGCAGATCACCCTTGGGCAAATCTCCACCGTCTGATTCTCCCGAATGTTCAAGAGGTTCAGCATCATGGCCTTGATCTTGTGCTAAACGACGAACTTCTCCCTTGCCATGCGCATGTCCTCGGCCACCACTGTGCCACTGATGCCATGGATCCGAATGATCCCAATGACCTCCAGGTTCTCTACGCGTCACATACGCCCAATTCTCTCGACTGCCGGACGATGACCCGTCCCAAGAATCCCAGGACCAACAGTCTCCCTTCCACCACGACGTTTGTGACCCTTCCCCGGAGGCATTGGATGCCATTTCAAACCATTCAGTGTTTGCCTCTGCTCTCTGCCTCCTACCACCTATGCTCCACTGTGACCACCCTGAAGTATCACTCCTTCTGCCCTCTTCAGAAGGACCCTCAAAGCTATCCAGCTCTACCCCATAGGTGGGCCATGCTTCCCCATAGTAGGAGCTCATCCCTTCTACCAGTCGCAGCACCCTCGTCCTGCGGCCCAAGCCAAAAGAGACCACTCTTCCCGATGCCCTTGTCCGTGAGGACGCCAAAGACCTCTTCGAAGTCTCAAGCACTGACCGCAGCGCTTGCCCTGGATCTCCACAACCTAGGCTCCGGTGCCAGTGAAATGTTGCCAGCGCCCTCCAAACAATCACGCCATGCCCTTTTTCCACAGGGTCCGCGACTGGTAGCCAAAATGGCTGTCGGATTCCAAAAGATAGATGGAGCTGCACCAAGGATTTCCAAGGTTGAACATGCCTTAATTTCACAGTTTGTATGTTTCTATGTTTCTATGTATCTATGTATCTATGTATGTATGTATGTATCTATGTATCTATGTATCTATGTATCTATGTATCTATGTATCTATGTATCTATGTATGTCTGCATGTCTGCATGTCTGCATGTCTGCATGTCTGCATGTCTGCATGTCTGCATGTCTGCATGTCTGCATGTCTGCATGTCTGCATGTCTGCATGTCTGCATGTCTGCATGTCTGCATGTCTGCATGTATGTATGTATGTATGTATGTATGTATGTATGTATGTATGTATGTATGTATGTATGTATGTATGTATGTATGTATGTGTCTATCTATCCATCCATGTATGTATGAATGTATGTATGCATGCATGCATGCATGCATGTGTATTTATATATGGGGCCAGGCACAGCAGCAGGTTGTTCAACACATCGATCGACGGGTGAAACAGTGAAAAAAGGCCGACTGTTTCCCTTTACTTAGACGAATTACTAGGTTGAAAGCTCTAAATTCAGAGATCAGCTCGGAGGATCGAAATTCCTACCTAGAAAGGTATTCCCCGAAGGGATCATGCCACCTTGACGAATCCAGCATGAGTCACACACTTGCTCAGAACTGTCATTGCGAATTTTGTGGTGGAGTGCATCTTACGTGCAAAAACACCAACAATTGAATGACAAGCTGAATATACATATATAGGAATATTATAGACGTATCATCACAGTAGACTTTGACCATATAAAACAACAGCGATAAAATATTTGTCCCCCCAGCTGCGACTTATATGCGGGATTATATTATATTATATTATGTATGCAGGTACAGGAATGTGCGTCCACATTCCCTTCCGGCTGAATCCCATAGCTTCGTTGGCATGGCTAGGGAAACAGCTGCCATGCCCCTGCAAGATAACGAAGTTTTACATCTCTACAGATGGTACACACACACACACCTGTAACTAAGTGATTTTCCAGCACGCCATGTCCACCAGAAAAGACATCATTGAGTTCCGGGCACTGCACCAGAAATCCCTTGGATGAGCGCCAAGTCGCCCTGATGCAACATATGCTCCATGGAGGATTTATTCCTCCAACAGATACCATGGAACCCCAAAATTGCCATGTCCAATAGCAATATGATCTCCAAAACTACTCATGTTTGGGGTTCCATATTAAATTTATGAGGTGTGCCAGTTGAAAATTGATATTTTCGCTCGCAATCTTCGCAAAGAAACATCCTTCATCATTTTCCATCATCTGATCTTAACACTGGATTGGTAAGGTTGCTTCCAATAGCGGTGGACTCATGAGCCCAGGATGGGTACAGTACTGGGTCAAGCCCTAGGATCACTTGTCTTTCTCACTTTCTTTTTCAACAAAATAGCTAGCATTCACTATTGAAAAACATGAAAAATCCTAAGCTTTGACTTTTTGACTGATGCCCATGGGGCCCATCTGCCCAAAAAAATCGGACCCAGTGTGCCGGCCTTGGCGTCCGAGACCTCCAGGCCGAGCTTCGTTCCCTTCTTACGTTCCACCTTCACCTTCAGCTTCTCCTAAGTTTGTTCAAACCTGGGGATTGGAAAAATATCGGGAGTTAAGGGTGCTTTCCTAAGATGGGGAACCCCAAGTTATCATCCAAGTGCTCCGGAATTTTTGATAAGGGGAAACTATGTGTTTTGAGGTACCTCCTAGCTTAGCAAACTCCCAATAATATAGGAAACTCCCACGAATAGGAGGGTGGTTTCATCACTAATTTCCTTGGACAACTCAACAGAACTCTAGCAGGACTTGGGGTCTGGCCAGCTTTCCCCCACCTGAGCCAACGGCAAAAAGTCGTGCTCCATGCCTGGTCGCCCTCGTTCCTTTGAGGCTCCGGCGACTTGTAAAGCAGGAGCCGGTTATGCAACTCGGTTTCAGATCCGGTGACTCACCGTGGATACCGTGTGGCAAAGGCCAACTGGCTAGGAGAAACCGGCTGCTATCAAGTTATCAAGCCGTAACTTGAGTTTTTCAGCCTACAATCTGCAATCCATTTCGAATTGGCAACTGACCGGTAGAACGTGCTAAGCTCCGGACTATGATGGACTGATTCCGGAGTATCCGCAATCTTTTCTCGATTTTGTCTCGATCTTGCAAGGCAAGCTGACTTGCTTCTTTGGTGTGTGCGTGTGTGTGTGTAAGTGGGAGGGAACGGATCACCCCTTGAATGATCATCACATGCCTTGGAATTGAAACTTAGCATTCCTCGATTCCTCACGTCTTCCCTTGGAACGGTCCATTTTAAACGACTACCAACACATAGCTCCCGCCTTGCAGGGGTTGTAAAAAGCCAAGATCCACACGCCTCAGCTGCACAACATGGCACCTGCAAAAAATTGCCTTCCAGGCTGAGGATCCAGCAAAACCCCACAAAGCCAATGAAGAAAATCACTCGCCTGTAGCAGGCGACGAAAATGGATGGTGTTTCTTTTTAAAAAACTGCTGGGGAGGGACTGGGAATGCAAAATGGTGCTGGGACTGGGTATTCACATCCTGGAAGTTGCAGCCTCTGCTATCAACACAACTGGTAGAGATCAGCCAGGATCCAGCATGGGAAGCTTCAGTTATGGCCCGAAGTCCTTCTGCCAACATCTTTGCCAGCCGGATCGGCCATCAGACCCTGAAGTTTCGGTGACAACTATAACTTAGAACACATCAGAATCAGTTGAGGATAAAACCCAAAAGAAACTTTCAGGGTCCTTCTTTGGGCTTCACCAACTTGAATCCGTTTCTGCACACTCAACTTTGGAGCCGTAGACTCAGAGAAAAGACTCAGAGAAAATCTCTCAGTAGTGGGGAGGACTTCCGGTCAAAACCTCGGGTGTTGGCAAAGGAGGCTCGTCCCTGCATCTGCATAGCGTCCAAATTTGAAATTTAAAATCAACCCAAATTGCATCTTTGAGTTGAACCACTTATGGGATGATAGATGATGAGGGTTTTCTTAGTCTGACACAAATCTGAGGGCGATCCATGTATCTCTGCTCTCAAGGCCACGACGGAAGCTGCGATTCTCCCTGCGGTGACCGTATTTTAGCTGAGGCTGACAAACGGGTGCGTGTCAAAATTGGGGTACCAAAACAAGATGGCCTGCTCAGGGCCTGATATTTGGACCCATGCCCAAAAAAAGTTGTCGCTCTCAATGCACAGTTAGAATAGTTAGAATCACACAACTATATATGAACAATTCGCAGTTCACAGCCTTCTGATGTTGAACTTCGCCACAACCAAAGAAGACAACGGCCTCAGCTCCAAAACATGGGGCCAGAACCATTGGACGTGCCTGCGACTCAGGTGCCGGGCCACGCAGGCCATGGGGCTTGGAGCATGAAGACCGCGTAGTTCTGCGAGTTACAACAGCAGCTGTGGCTGGTTACAAGGGCTAGCTGCAAAAAAATGAAAAGAAAATCACCTTGAAGAGGGGGGATTGATTTGTCTTTTTTGGAACATCCATAGATTCTAAAATGATCTAAAATGGTAAACTGAAAAGTGATCATATCAGTATGTGCAGCCAGGCATCTTTTCCCAGAACTGTTGGGGTCCCTTTAGGCCCAACGTCCACCTCAGAAACCGCGAAGCACGACATCACTCGCCGCCATGACCACAAGTATGAGTATGGATCGAAACTACTATCAACCATCCACAAAAATCAAAATCTAGGGAAACCAAAAAAAATGGCGGAATTTCGCCACGTCAGACTACCTAAGGGCAAACAATTTTTGACTCTGAGGCCTCGACACACTCTGTGTCCTTGGGAAGCCCTGTTGGATCCAAGGGGTTCTGGGGCTCCTGGGCCGCATTCGCTATGGTGATCAGGATTTTTGTCCCATTGCGTCCAGCAATTTTTTTTGCAACTGCAGTATATAATTAGATGGATTCTCTGACGTATCCACCGCTTTATGATATTCTATATGTATACATCTTCAAAAACATGTTCATATACATAGTATATTCTATATATTTCTACATATATATATATATATAGTATCAACCTATCACAGACATGATTCCACTGAATATGGTGCATCCTTGCGTTTGGAGCCGCCGGTGAAGCGACGCAGCAGCACCGCCTCGTCGCCCATACACCTCGTGGGCCTCGGCTTTGCCGCGCTGGCAAAAAAATGTTTTCACACCAGCCAATAATTGTGGACCTATATATATATATACATATATGTGTCATCGAAGGAAGTTTAGAAGTCAAACTTCCGACAATATGGACAGATGAAAAGCAGAGATGGAAAGGGTCAGAGAGAAGAGAAGAGTAGAAGAGAGAAGGGCAGAAGAGAGAAGATCAGAGAAGAGAAAGAGTCAGAAGAAAGAAGATGCAGGTGCGCGAAAAGGTAGGAAAGTCGCAAAACACTTTGTTTTTCCAATGATTTGTGGCTCCGGAGGGTCGAAAAGTAGGCTCGCTAAAGCTGCGGGCGCGGAGCCAGCTGGCCAGATGAGAGATGAAAAAGTGCACTCCGTTGTGGCGCGAAGCCCATTTCCAAGTCAAAATGTACAAAACACACCAGGTTCAGACCACTTTTGGAAGCTGCGGTGTCGAAAAAGTGCACGCCGTTGTGGCACGAAGCACATTTCCAAGTCAAAATGTACAAAGCACACCAGGTTCGGACCACTTTTGGAAGTTGCGATGTCGAAAAAGTGCACGCCGTTGCGGCGCGAAGCACATTTGCAAGTGAAAAAGCTAAATAATACACTTCACGTTCGGACCATTTTTGGAAGTTGAGATCTCGAAAAAGTGCGCGCCGTTGTGGCGCGAAGCACATTTGCAAATGAAAAAGCTAAATACACCTCACGTTCGGACCACTTTTGGAAGTTGAGATGTCGAAAAAGTGCACGCCGTTGTGGCGCAAAGCACATTTGCAAATGAAAAAGCTAAATACAGCTCACGTTCGGACCATTTTTGGAAGTTGAGATCTCGAAAAAGTGGACCCCGTTGTGGCGCGAAGCACATTTGCAGTGAAAAAGCTAAATACACCTCACCTTTTGGAAGTTGAGATGTCGAAAAAGTGCACGCCGTTGTGGCGCGAAGCACATGTCGAAGTCAAGATGTTAAAAACACCAGGGATTCGGACCACTTTTAGAGGTTCAGATGTCGTTTCGCGTGGCAGGCGCAAGGGATTGTGCACCTTCTCAAAAGTGAGCAAAACGTGGGGGTTTTGTGGCATTTCCAAAAACGGTGGCAGGCGTGGGACATTTCAAGAGGATCTGCAAAGATGCATTTTCCGTGGCAGGCGCAGTACAAGAGACATCTTCATCGGAGCTGTTAGGAGGTCAGGGCGCTGATTTCCTGAGAGGGGTTGCATTTTGGAACATCAGATCTGTAGGTTTGCTAAGATGATTTTGCGTGACAGGCGCAGCACTTCGTATGACCTGGCATCAATTTTTCATGGCAGGCGCAGTACTTTAGACAGGTGGAGTGGAAAAAACGCAAAACGCATTGGTACGAGGCCGTCAGCTCTGCACTCAACTTTCCATGTTTGAAGGAAGTTTCGCAGAATTGCTTTGTTTTTGATGTTGTCAAGTTCAAGAAGTGAAGAAGACTCGCAGAATTGCTTCGTTTTGGATGTTGTCCAGTTCGAAAAATGAAGAAGTGTCGCAGAATTGCTTCGTGTCTGATGTTGTCAACTTCGAAGAATGAGGAAGTCTGGCAGAATTGCTTCGTTTTTGATGTTGTCAACTTTGAAAAAATGAGGAAGTCACGCAGAATTGCTGCGTTTTTGATGTTGTCAACTTTGAAAAATGAAGAATTCTCGCAGAATAGCTAGGTTTTCAAGCTTGCAGATAGACAGGTAGATAGATAGACAGACAGACCGACCGATAGATAGATAGATAGATGGATAGATAGATGGATAGGTAGATAGACAGATAGATAGCTAGATAGCTAGATACACAGTGAGATAGACAGATGAGATAGATAGATTGCTACATAGATAGATGGATGGATGGATGGATAGATAGATAGCTAGATACACAGTTAGATAGACAGATGAGATAGATAGATTGCTACATAGATAGATAGATAGATAGATAGATAGATAGATAGATAGCTGGATGGATAGATAGATGGATGGATAGACAGATATAGATAGAGAGAGCGAGATAGCTAGATAAATAGACAGATAGATAGATAGATAGACATCTAGATAGATCGATAGATAGATAGATGGATAGATAGATAGATAGATAGACAGATAGATCGGTAGGTAGGTAGGTAGATACTCAGAGAAAGAGAGAGAAAGATAGAGAAAGAGAGAGAAAGAGAGAGAGAAAGAGAGAGAAAGAGAGGAGACATCAATCACCTTTCAGTCCATCAATGGCTTCGCTCTGCCATCCGTGATTCACAACAACCAAGCTCTCCTATAGGTTTCCTATTTTTGAAACTTCCGCCACCGCCTTGTGCGGTACTACTGGTATATACTACATATATCATATATAAATCATACTACATATATCATATATAAATCAGATATATGATATGAATGGATGTTCATCAAACCAAAGATGGTCTCATTTTCATGTGGTTCCTATGCACTATACAGTAGATTTCTTGTGGGATAGTCTATTCCTTCATTTGTCCTTAAAAAGGAAATCATTCACCTACCCTTCAATCAAGATTCATTATCACGGTCGGACGGTCGGACAGTGAAAACTTTGAAGCATACGATACGAACAGGTTGGAAACCCACCACGATCACCTCAGCTTTTGCTTTCAGCCACTATTCTCAGCAGTGATTCAACATATTCAACGGAAAAATATGGAAAAATAACATCACAGTAGCGCCTAAAATTGATGGGGAAAGCCCTGGTTCCCTCATGTTCCCTCTAGATTTTATATAGAAAAGCGCATGGCCAGCCCCTGAGGCTGCCTGAGGCTTCACACATATCTCCAAGACTCTCTCGCGAACCGATGTCCTGAGAAGGCATGATTGTTTGAGGAAGACTTCCATCCAGGATCCAAACCAAAATTCTACGTTCATCCAGGTTTACAAGCTTTGAGGTGAGCTTCCATGGTCCTTGTTCTGCACCAACTTCAAGTTTTCGAAGACATTGCACTGCAACAAGGGTCCTTGCCTCTGGTAGCACACGTGTGATCCTTCAAACCAATCTGCTCGGCATTAAAATTGCATCAAACCCAAGAATCAGAAAAAGAACGTTAAAATATTTCAAAAAAAAAGGCTGCATGCTCAAAATGTTTCAAGATAAGATCAATTTCGCCGTTTGAATATCTTAACCCAGGGGACGCGAGCTGCTTTGCCACAACCCTGGCATGCAAACACTGGGGCTGTGGCGGCTGTTCCTGGAAGTCGCCTTCTGTTTCTGGCGCTTGTCCAACCGGCAGTTGCTCCGAACTCGTGCTACTTTTCTGGCCGCAAAAAATGGAGGGCCCACAGATGCTTCCAGGTTTTTCAACTGCCGGTCATTGCCTCTTATGGATTCTTGTAGGATAGTACAGTATCACGAACTTTGCATCTGTAGTATCCATATACCACACAGGGAAGTGAAAAAAGGCTGGCCTTTTTGGAGAAAAGGCCCGAAGCGAACTTCATGGCCATGGATCCCAAACTCACGTCTTCAGCTTCCAACTTTGGTGCGGGAGTCCGGTGAGAAAAATAGCCAAAGGGAGGCCGATATTCACAGCAATGATACCACCTTGGTGTGTCAATCAGCCATGCTGCTGGCAAGTCATCATCTCATCGTCATCGGCATCATAAAAAAAAACTTATGATGTGGCAGGAGAAAAGCTTGCTCTTAAGTCGGTATATACACCCTGATCAGCTCACCCGTCAGAGCCAAATTGAGATCAAACATGATCAAACACAAACTCGCGCTAAGCTCCAGTCAATCCATCACGAGAGTCGTGAACGTAGATCACTCGCTTAACGCGCTTGAAGGGGTTCTCTGTCTCGTACGGAATGCCACAGTCTTCGGTGACACTTAGATGCGCACAATTTCAGAATAGGGTCTTCACAGGAAAGTCTACACATCTGCATCAATCAACCGTTTGCCCTGCAAGGCAATAGAGTTGCTTACGACAATATCCTTGTGTGTCGTTTGCAGAACAATCACGATATTACGATGTTCGATGGCATTTAAACAAATGGAATTCTTGGGCTCGGGTGTTCTCATTTCTCGCCGAATATTACCCCAGCATTTGTTCATCAATCTTCACCGAGTCTCCTGGAGCCTAAAACCTCCTTGCCCACGAAGAGATCTCGCAACCGCATGCAATCTGGACAGGCTGTGCAGATGGCACAACAGATACAGTACTACTGAGTTTTTTTCTGGTGATTGTTTAAAAGAGCTTCAATTTACCGTCCAGAAAAACAAATGACATGCGAAATGTCGATGATCGGGTACTTTTCACATGGATAGTCACTTAGGTCAATTGGCTGGTTGATCTTTGACACAGGCATGCAGATCTTTGAAACCACTGAGTTTAGCAGGGGCTTCCGCCTGGATCCAAGCTGTTGATGGACTCATTGGAGCAATCCAAGACAAAGGACGTGGCAGGCCAGCTCCTCATCACCTACGGCCGTGGAATGATTGCGTGGTTAGGCTGTAACCAAATGGTTGCAAGCTACAAACCAGCTATAGAACTGAAGTGTGAACATTTATGTGATTGTCATGTAGTGCCAAACACGCATACACAAATGCATACATAATATCTATATATATAGAGAGAGAGAGAAAAACATATATAAATACTTGTGCATAAATAAACCTAGTTGGCACCTGGGCAGCCACAAATGGTTTCCACTGAACCCTGGCATGAATAAATAGGACGGAAATGAACATCATGATCATGATCATGATCATGATCATGATGATGATGATGATGATGATGATGTTCTCACTCCAGAGTACCACCGCTTTGTGGGAAGTATCTAAAACAAGTCCTAGAGACAAAAAACGTGGAGCAATGGTTCGGGACAAGTGTCCTACCCATGAGTGAAAGCCTAGCAATTACAGTACGTACATCCCCCCAAGTGCTGAAAACCACCCGTTGTTATCCCTGACTTCCAAGTGGCGATCTGGGAGTTTCAACTGCTAAACCCACCATGAGGCGTTTAGCACATCGCAGGACAGTTGGCAGACTTGGAGCATGCCAGGAATTACGGTGACTTTGATACCAGATATACATAGATATACCAGTCAGAAGGCTGCTGGTTTTGGTTATTCTTCAACAATCCGGTCTTTGGGATGCCCAATATTTCACCATGAAATGTCACTCAGAACTGGTCTCCCATGGGGATATTCCACAGAAGTGCCCTATTCCGCTCAGCTTCAGCCGAAACAGCTTCAGTAGAAAACATGTTCTCCTTCCATTGAAGCAACCCCTGATGAAGCCATTCCTGACAAAAATGGAACGACGGCTTGCAACACAGATTTAAGCTCGATGGTTTGGTGAATGTTTGGTGAGTTGTAGCGGAGAGACCCTGTCTATGGCCTTCTTGGTCGCATTCGGGCAAAAAGTGTCTCGGGCTTTTCTCCCTGAGCATTACTCTTCTCCACCTGCGGTACGAGTGGTGTCTGGATCGTCTGATGACTGTCTGTGATGCCACAGACCTGGCCTCATTGTCACCTTTTCCTGCCAGGGAACAGTGCAAAGATCTGCAAAGCTATTTTCCTTCTCAGGAATTCTCTGAGTGGGACAAATCCATGCACAAATCCATGTATAAATCCCACAAATTCTTGGAGCAAAATCGGAAAGCAGGAAGACTCTGCCCGAATTTCCAGAGTTCTTCCCCTCTCAGCCTGGCTCCGCGCTGTTCTTCTTCCCCATCTCGCATGGCTTGGGGACCAGGCAGAGCACTGGTCGTGGACTCTACCAGAGCCAGAGTTGCAGGTTGGATGGACCAACACAGAGTGGCCCAACGCTGTATAGTTAATATCAAAAACGAGGTTTCACCAGCAAAACTAGGCGGAATAATCATCTACCCCAAGTCATGAAGAATAAGGTGTTGTGCATGTGTTGTAGTGGTTGGTTCAGTTGATTTGCAGTCGAAGGGTTGCACGAATCCCAATCGAACCAGGTCGTTCATGTTTGACACTGCCCACGTGTAGCCTACTAAATCATCTCCCATCCGGCAGGTTGTGGCACGTCAGCAGACCCATCGAAAACATGTCTGATTCCAACCTTAGTTTGGGAAGTGACAGCCTGCAAAAAGGCGTCTGAGTTCCTGGCATCCTTCGCATTCAAGTGGTGCAACACTCAAACGTTCATGAATGCATTTGAGATTCAAAAGAAACAAAAACATTCCAATAACATCCTGGTGTAACCAATTATTCCTGGTTCACTCTCGTAAAATACTGCGACTGCCGAAAGTTCTACTCTTGACTGAGTCTTGCACCCACATTTCGCAGGAAAGCCACACATCTCTGGTGCAGCATACCTACACCGGGCTCGGTGCCGTGGCCTGCCGTGGCCTGCCGTGGCCTGCGGTGCAACCCTATGCCCCCACCTTGGTGGTGGCTCATAGCTGAGGTTGCCAGGTGCCTGCGGAACAATCGACAACACTTGCACCTCGTTGTGAATCATGCGTCACATAGGAATCCACTGTGATAACAATATGATGAATACTCCATAACAAAAGTAACAAAAGTTATAGGAATCCAAAACTCCAAAACTTAATGTACCTGGTTTCTGATAAACAGATGCATGTATTAAGTTTGCTTCAGCCCGTCTAAGTTTTCTTTTCTCTACCTTGTTCATCGTTTCTCTTCATCTTGCTGTGTCTATCAATTCTACTGCCCTCACCCAAATCCCATACGTAATCATTGAACTTTATTTCAAGAGAGAGAGAGAGAGAGCGGGTGCAGTGATTGATAGTCATAAAATTGACTATCAGACTGTTTTTGCCCTCACCCAAATCCCATACGTAATCATTGAACTTTATTTCAAGAGAGAGAGAGAGAGAGCGGGTGCAGTGATTGATAGTCATAAAATTGACTATCAGACTGTTTTTGCGGTGTTCCGAATGATTATCCTGGTAATAGAGTTACAGGTATCATACAATTTATACATATATATATATATATTGATACTGATATATACATACATGTTTGTGTATTTATATGTATTAATTGATACATGTATATATATATAGTTTTATCAATTTTTATTCAGTTATATTTATGTTTATATCCGCCGACCCCGGCAGACGCGAGGGGGAGCGCGCCAGGGAATAATACTTTTGACTCTTGTTTCGGACTACTACCGCAGCCGGCGCAGCAGCAGCAACAGCAGGAGAAGTAAAACCGGCCTCCGGGGAGCTTGTTATTGCGAATGATTTCGCTCACAAGTAGCAGTAGCAGAGCAGCCAGCTGTTGGCAGGTGCTTTTGGTAGCAGCAGGCAGCGGCAAAGTTTCAATTTTTGGGGGGTTCCTTTGCTGTTTTGGAGACGAAATTAGGTGTTGTTTTGCTGTTTCGGATGTTTCGAAAAGGGTGTCTGGCTGTTTGTTTCTTGCTTTGGAGGCTGTTTGATTGCAGCAGCACCACAGCAGCACCACAGCAGCACCACAGCAGCAGCAGCAGCCACCAGCAGCTGCACCAGCAGCAGGCAGCAGCAGGGTGCAGCAGGCAGCAGCAGGCAGGCAGCCGCAGCCTTCAGTGGCATGGTGTTTCGGTGTGGCGAGGGGTACGTTTTGGAAGCCTGCAGCAGCAGTTGCTTTGTTTTTAACCAGATCCAGAAGGGACGTCAACATTGGATGGATTGGATTGGATTCGATTTCTAGAAGGATTCTAGCAGGATAGCAGGAGAAGGGATAGCAGGATTAGAGAGGATTTCTAGTACGATTTCAGAAGGGACGTTCCGGCCTCCAGGGAACTTGTTCTTGCGATTGATTTGGAGGTCGTTCCGTCCTTCAGGGCCATGGTGTTTCGGTGTGGCGAGGGGTACATTTTGGAAGCCTGCAGCAGCAGTTGCTTTGTTTTTAACAAGATCCAGAAGGGACGTCAACATTGGATGGATTGGATTGGATTCGATTTCTAGCAGGATTCTAGCAGGATAGCAGGATAAGGGATAGCAGGATTAGAAAGGATTTCTAGTACGATTTCAGAAGGGACGTTCCGGCCCCCAGGGAACTTGTTCTTGCGATTGATTTGGAGGTCGTTCCGTCCTTCAGGGCCATGGTGTTTCGGTGTGGCGAGGGGTACATTTTGGAAGCCTGCAGCAGCAGTTGCTTTGTTTTAACAAGATCCAGAAGGGACGTCAACATTGGATGGATTAGATTGGATTCGATTTCTAGCAGGATTATAGCAGGATAGCAGGAGAAGGGATAGCAGGATTAAAGAGGATTTCTAGTACGATTTCAGAAGGGACGTTCCGGCCCCCAGGGAACTTGTTCTTGCGATTGATTTGGAGATCGTTCCGTCCTTCAGGGCCATGGTGTTTCGGTGTGGCGAGGGGTACATTTTGGAAGCCTGCAGCAGCAGTTGCTTTGTTGTTAACAAGATCCAGAAGGGACGTCAACATTGGATGGATTGGATTGGATTCGATTTCTAGCAGGATTCTAGCAGGATAGCAGGATAAGGGATAGCAGGATTAGAAAGGATTTCTAGTACGATTTCAGAAGGGACGTTCCGGCCCCCAGGGAACTTGTTCTTGCGATTGATTTGGAGGTCGTTCCGTCCTTCAGGGCCATGGTGTTGCGGTGTGGCGAGGGGTACATTTTGGAAGCCTGCAGCATAGCAGGATAAGAGATAGCAGGGTTAGAGAGGATTTCTAGTACGATTTCAGAAGGGACGTTCCGGCCTCCAGGGAACTTGTTCTTGTGATTGATTTTGCGTCATTTTCGGAACGAAATTAGGTGGTGTTTTGCCGTTTCGGCTGTGTTTCGAAAAAGGAGGATAGCAGGATAAGAGAGGATTCTAGCACGATAGCAGGATAAGAGAAGATTTCTAGTACGATTTCAGAAGGGACGTTCCGGCATCCAGGGAACTTGTTCTTGCGATTGATTTGGAGGTCGTTCCGTCCTTCAGGGCCATGGTGTTTGGCTGTTTCGCAACCGCCCGCTAGGACTTCGTTGTGGAGCTGTTTTGAGGGCATGAGAGCTGGCAGCAGCAGTCAACATTGGATGGATTGGATTGGATTCGATTTGTAGCAGGATTCTAGCAGGATAGCAGGAGAAGGGATAGCAGGATTAGAGAGGATTTCCAGTAGGATTTCAGAAGGGACGTTCCGGCCTCCAGGGAACTTGTTCTTGCGATTGATTTGGAGGTCGTTCCGTCCTTCAGGGCCATGGTGTTTGGCTGTTTCGCAACCGCCCGCTAGGACTTCGTTGTGGAGCTGTTTTGAGGGCATGGGAGCTGGCAGCAGCAGTCAACATTGGATGGATTGGATTGGATTCGATTTCTAGCAGGATTCTAGCAGGATAGCAGGAGAAGGGATAGCAGGATTAGAGAGGATTTCCAGTAGGATTTCAGAAGGGACGTTCCGGCCTCCAGGGAACTTGTTCTTGCGATTGATTTGGAGGTCGTTCCGTCCTTCAGGGCCATGGTGTTTCGGTGTGGCGAGGGGTACG